ATAATAATAATAATAATAATAATAATAATAATAATAACAATAATAAATAATAATAATGATAAAGGTATTAGAAATAAAGAAAATGATAAAATTTTTGACTGAATCGTTTTTATTTCTGCATATTATTTGTTTTTCAGTGGTTTATTTATGCAAAAGCTGTAATGACATAATAATGATGTTACTTTTTAGTGGCATGATAATGATATTAAGTTATGATAACATTATTTTTATAATAATATTAGCAGTAATCATGTTATTAATATACTTGAAAATATGCAAGTTCATGCAACAAGCAATAATTTTATGGAATTTTTGTTATGTTGAATTTACATGCAAAGTTAATATTAAGAGAGTTTTATCAATAATTTATGTGCTTAATTTTTATTTTTTACATGAAATAATAGTGATAATAAAATTTTTGACTTACCTGTTTGCTGTATTTTCATACTTCATCTATGCTATTTATCATTTTGGCAACATTTTATGCAAATTAATTCCAGCATATCTTATCACAGCTTAGATCAATCTATCCTGCCATTAAGATTTTCATGAATGAAATGAAATACTTAACACGTACATTTGTTATGGTTACTAGACAATCTATAAAAATTTAAGCTATTTTTCTGATAATCAATTCAGTAAATTTAAGCTATTTTACTACTGCAAAATACAATGCAAGTTATTACTGAAATACCTTTGAGATTTTATATTTTGTTTATATTTAAGGTATGATAAGCAAGAGACTGATAAGTTGATTAGTCATTTCAGTAAATTGTCCTTCTGAAAGTGATAAAAAACATTTACTTTAAAAACTATGTAATTTTTATAGTTAAATATTTACTGGTAAATTTGTTGAGGAATACAGTGAAAAATATGTGCTACGTTGTTTTTTGTAGATGTCTTACTTAAAAATATTTGATTACTTTCCCATCTCAATTAATTAACAATTTTTCATTGAATTTGCAATAATTTGGATAAGTGATTAGCTAACCTATGACCTGTTTAATTTTTTGTGATTGTTTTGATCACAGAAATTTTCAGTGACTACAATGAAGAAAATATTTGGTCAGAAAAAACTGAAAAAGGCAAAATTTCAGCCAGTGGATGAAAATTACACAATTAACGGAACAAATTCTGCTGAAAGTGGCACCTCTGATCGGTCAGTTACTGACCACAAGTAAGATTTTTAACAAACTAAAATAGCCCTCAATAAATTTTACTATATCTCTGTGCTTAAAACCAGGCAATTCTATAAAAATATGCATTTTTAGAGAACCAACAAGCTTAGATGAATATCAAAGTTATTACGAAGGTACGTCTTCGTCCCTTGGAGAGGAGCGTCATTTTGATGAAGAACTGGACAAGCATATGATGCAAACTATTTCTGATGTTAAATACGTTAAGAAAAGGCCCAAATTTGTGACGGTTGGTAAGTTATTCATTGCTAATTACTCATACCATTTTAATTACAAAAATGTTTACAAATGTTTTGCTTGTAATTTGATTATACTTAATTTTTTATCCTTAAATTTGAACTAAATATATTTTAAAATCAAATTTAAATGAACAACTGGCAATACAATTATGACTAAGATGATTTCAAATTTGAACACAAATTTTAAATCAATTAACCAATACGAATTTATCTTCTAAAATTAAAATCTGTAACTAATTTTTAGTGAACATTAAAAAGTATTATTTAAAATCAATAAAAATGTTTGACTGTAATTTATGCAAATTTTTTATTTGGCAAAACTCTTTCCATGAAGTTAACTCTAAGTCGCTAACAAAAAATTTTCATGAAATTAACTCTAAGTCGCTAACAAAAAATTAAAATACACTTGCTGTAGTAAAAAAAATTAACCTTTAATAAGTTATAAACTATTGTATTTCATATTCTCATATAATAATTATTATTGTAGTAGCAAAATTCATTGATAATAAGAAGAAAATTTTTATAATTTTTCCAAAATGTAAACTTTTGTACAGGGGAAGTCAATTTTCAACGTGAATGTTTGGATGCGCATAACGTAGTGAGGGGACAATACGGTTGTCAAGCATTAATTTGGTCCCAAGAACTTTCTGATCTTGCGCATTCTTGGGCTGTTAAATTAGCTGAACGAGGAAGGATATTATTTCCTGAATTACCAGGTAAAATTTAATTGGCATTTATATAAAATGTATTATGATTGGAAAATTATTATTTTTAAATATTTTACATAACTTTGTATAATTAGTCAAGCGTTACTTTAACAGAACTTACAGACAGTACAATAACTTAAACTAATATAATTACAACTTTTCTTGATTTAATTAAAATATTTGATGTTCTCTAATAAAAATTAATTTTTCATTTATTTTTATTAAAAAATTTGAGGATTTTGTAGGCATAGGGGAGAATATATGCTTGACAATAGCAGATGAACAAACTCACTTACCTTCCGGTACAGAAATTACTGAACTTTGGGCTCGAGAAGCAAAAGATTTCGATTTCAAAAGACCTCAGTGGAGTCCAAGTAAATTTCTACAATTCTTTTTCAAAATATTATCAGTCTTGTCAGATAACTCATCAGATTACTTAATGTCTCTGCTTAATGAATAATTTTCCATCAAAAAATTTATTTAAAAAAAATTAAATTACAAATTTGAATACAATAAACTGATATATTCAAATTTTATGAATTATATGAATGGTATCTTCTTCTGACTGCTATTTTTAGTAAGTCTATGAACTTTTATTAACAAATGACCATTTTTAATTTCAGGTTTTTTGATTTTGTTTTCAAATTGTAATTTTCGGTAATTATATTTGATCAAAAATTTTTCAAGTAATAAAAGAATTAGTTAGTTAGCTTTCATTAAAATTTATTTTTCTTTAATATTTTTAGGAAGCAAATTGATATATTTACATATTTAACGTTTAGAAACGAAAAATTTCACGCAAATTGTTTGGAAGGAAACATTTGAAATGGGTATTGCGCGGCAATGGAATACAAATAAAAACTGTGTTGCAACTGTAGCATTTTATCGACCTCCAGGAAATTCCAATGCCCCCGGTGAGCTTGAACTTTGTTTTTGATTAATAATTTAAACAATTTTAATTAAAAGATCAAATCATTTGGGAATATTTAAATTTACTAATTTAAGTTACATGAAATGGAATTGATTACTTTTGTGATACTCAATTAACAAGGTTTATTAAAAGCTTAATTAAAATTAGTATTATTTTCATGACAAAGTAAATAAATAATTACAAGAAGTAGTGAAAAATCTTCAACAATATAATCATAATCTAAATTCAGTTAACACAGAAGATATTCATTTTTTAAGTAAAAATCTTGATTATGAGTTTAATGTAATCAAAACTTGGAATTATTACAGGTGAATTTCAACGAAATGTCTCTTCAAAAACATACTTTGATAAAATTTCTGTGCCATCAGCAACGATTCTGCCCTCTACGACATCTCTTATGCGATCACATCCATCAACCGTACAAAAGTCATCAGACTTATAGAATTAATCTTCAATAATAGCATATCAGAAGATTTCTAACCTATAATCACTTACAATTTGTTGAAAAAATGGTTGATGATTGTAATGAATTTTAGCTCTTTGCCATTTGCAAAAAGCTAAAAATTGTTGTAGTAAAAAATAAAGAGATTTATCGAGTAAAAATTTGAAAATAAAATAAATAAAAATTAGTAAGAAAGTTAATTTACTTAAATTGGAAAAGTGAAGTATATGCAAATTTAAGGAATTAATTTTATATTTGCAAAAGTATTTCCCTCTGTGTTAAATAACCATTGCTTCAATTTTTAAAACGTTTGCATGTTAATTTAGAATAATAATGCTTTGAATTTTTATACTGCAGATAACTTTGGACTGCCGTTCTTGCTATTGAGTATGCTTTTATAGACAAAATTAGCAGTAATTTGTTGCATTTCATTAAGTGTTATCATATTTTTGAACTGAATAATTTTATACATTTTTGATATAATAAAGTTTATAATCAATTTAAATTTGCCATATTTGATGCGCGGAACATATCGTCAAGAATTAATTCAGTGAAAAGAAAGTTACTTAAAGTACTCATTCGGAAATACATTTGCATAAATGAAGTTCGTTTTTGTTAATAAAATGAAAGTTACAAATTCAAATTCAAGTTCAAATTAATCATTTATGCTATGACTTGTTTTGTATGATTTTAGGTTTTTGAATGATTCTTTGATTACTTTGTAATAATTTAAATTAAATTTAATTATTTATCTTACAATAAATTTATAGCAAATTTGTTTTGATACTAAAAAGTAAAAAATTTGACTGCAAAATTTATCAGCTTTGTTTATCCTTTTTTATGAAGTGATGTTATATTGTTTAATACTATCTCATGGAAACAATTAATGGTAAATAGAACATTTGGAATTATTTTTACAAAAATCGAAGACAAAACTTATTAAAAATGCAATTTAGACTATTTTTACTTGAAAGCGAACTAATTTCTACAGTAATCAAAGGTACAAATTAAATACACTGTACCAATTTAGAATCTGATACTCCTACAGATATTTGAAAAATTTCAGAATGCATAACTGATATAATTTTTTCAACTAAGGGATTTTACTTGAGATGCTATAGACTGATAAATATCTCAAAAAACAAGTTTCAAGCTAAAAATAAATTTATTGTTAATTACCTTAATCCCAAGATAAAAACTTTTGTATTTACTAACAAAAGAGTAAATAAGTTCTTGAATAATTATACAGAAAGTTTTAGTTATCAGAAGTTATCAGCATAGATTTGCAGAGTTATTATCAACAGTGACTAATTAACATTTTGCTGTATATTATGTAAATTAAGAATGTGTTGCTTATCATCAATTTGAATTTATATGAGAACCACAATTCCTAATAAAGCTGACTTACAAAAAATGGCGAAAAAATCATTACAGTAAAAATTGTTTTTGTAAAAAATATTATTCATCCAAAAAGGTATGTCTAAACTTACTTTGCTCTTTTTACTTTATTTTTGGTAGATAAAATCAGTGATAACCTAAACTTCATTCTTTCTATACTTTTTATGACAAGTAATTGAAGAAGTATGTTCATTTTGACCTTTGCCTTATTTGCATATTAAACACGCATAAACGATGTCTACTGACTCATCCTACTATTAGTATCAAACTTTCTCTGTAAGCTTAACTTTTTACGTACTTCTTTTTTGTTTCCATCTAAAAGTTATGCAAAATACGTATGGGAAATAATGTTATATTTTCTAGGTAACATTCTTCAACATCCATCCACTATTATTCACTACATACTTAATATATTTTTTACCTCAAATATCAAGAATATTATTATCCTAAGCCTGATAGCATTTTATCAACGTTTGAAATTATCCCATATATTTACCTCAATATTATCACATATTGTTTGTTATCTTTTTTAATCAATTATGACCCTGATGTTGTGCATACTTTTCAATTGACCCCAAATTTTAGCAACATTTTTTGTACTATAATTAGTTTTACTAATTTTGAACAGTCAAATGAAGCAAAAATAAAAAGATGGTAATTTAATTAAAAGTTCTTATATCAAATAAGCAAGCAAAATAGGTCTGCACATTATTTTGTACTTAATATATTATTAAAAATTTTTTCAAACTATTTGTAAATAAAATTTATTTTGCTTTTATTAAATAAATTTAAATAATATCACTAGCATATTATTGTTCAGATTGATTTAAATATAAACTACTTTTAATAATGTGATAAAATTAGTAATATTTTAGGCGTAATTTATGCAAGCTTTGGATTAGATTCGATGAGTCTGTATGAAAGATATTCATATTTTTACTTCGGAACACTGGATTTGCTTTACTAAACTGTTTATTGATTAATTTGCATATTCTAAAAATAGTAGCATACAGTTATTAAGATATTGAAGCAATTAGTAAAAAAATTTTATGACATTTTCCAACACACTAAAATTTATTACAGAATGCCCGATTAATGATTGAAATATTTTATTAAAATTTTTTTGAACTTTATTTGTAAATGAAATTTATTTCGCTTACAAATAAAGTACAGAAATTTAAAATAGTTTTATTAATAAAGTAACTTTAAAAATAAGTAAAGAAATTTTTAAAAATTTCAGCAAGTAAAGCAATTCAAAAAATTTCAATTAATTAATTTTAAACAATTATTTAAATTTTAAATTGCATGTAGTCAAAAGCATACTTTTGTAATATCCATCAGTATCATAGATATGAAAACTGTATAAAAATTTAAAAAGATATATTTTTAAATAAATTAATTCAAAGTTGTTTTCAAACAACTTTTGCGTTAATTGACGAATTTGAAAATGTATTAAGTAATAGCAATTGAATTTTAAATTTTGCCGGAAATAACTCAATAAAATTTATTATTTTCACACAATTATTCTACGTATATTTTGTTTGTACATAAATTAGAAACAAAAAAAAGAAAGCAATCTTTTTTTTCTGCCAGTGATTGCAAATATTTGCATAATATAACCTCAAAAGCAACTAACTGTTTTTCGTGGCAAAAATATACTTATGATAATTTATGCAACAATTACAAAAATATACGTATTTGATTGTGATTATAAATTCATTAATGCTATCATTGCTTCTTATTGCTTAACATTGTGCTATCAATGCTTATTGCTTTATTTTTAGCTTAAAAATAAGTTGCAAATGTTTAAGCAAATATAATCATAAAAAATATTAAACATTACACTTTGATCGAAAAAAAATTAGCATAAAATCATTTTGAGAGCAAGAAATTTTCAATTCATTTGCATAAACAAATGTTTACTACAAAGTATTTGAGTATTTACTAGCGTAAATGTGTAACATTTGAACTGTGATCAAATTATAGATATGATTCATTGATCTGACCCGTTTATGATCTCATAATAATAATAATAATAATAAATGACGAGTATTGTAATCAAAAAATGATTTATTAATTTTTTCTTCAGTAATGATTTGATGATGATTTTTGGTCTGATGATAACGATAACAACAACGATTATTCGGATCAAAAGAATGATTCATCGAATGATTCAGTACTATGATCAAAGGAAATGTCAATTATTAAAATGCATTGCAAATTATCAAATGCTTATTAATAATTTCATTGCTGTGCTTTGATCTAAATAATATATTACTCTGAAAAATGACTAATTAGTTTACAGAATCTAAAAAAACTTTTGCTCTACAATTTTTTCAATATAAAATGTTTTGTTGACCTCACGCGATTAATAATAACCATCAGTTGACTTAAATCTTTAAATACACTAAAAAGTTTTAATAAAATATTTGAGTTGATAAATAAATATTTAATACATTAACGTTATACGTACGTGACTTAGCATAGTCCCTGGCTGATCTTAATGACAAATTTGTAAATAGCCAGCAAATATAAGTTATTTGCGAAAACTTCTGGCATATTTTGGTTCATATATGAATAATTTTGTTTTTTGCTAGTTTGTTAGCAGTTTTTGCATTTTCGTTCACACAGCTGGCAATTCTGAAGGAAGAAGGAATTATTATAAAACCTGTAGAAATCAACAATTCTTCTTGCTACAACACAACTATTTAAAATACTCTAACAAACAAAACAACAACGAAAAATAAATTGTAAAACTCAAAAATTATTTCTTATGCAAATTTTTGTGCTTTATAATTTTTCATTTCAATTGAAAACAAATAAGTTACTTTAAACTTGCCATATGTACTATTCAGTTCCAAATTTATATTATTATGCTAATTTCTTGCAAAAAATAAAAGTTAATTTTTATGCAATATTTGCAGCTGTCAGATTAGATCTTTTAACAATTATATTAATAATCAAATTGCGCGAAAATTATTATTATTACTATTCTTACTATTAATATTACTATTATTACTATTATTTTGTGATGCCAACTGTTTTTGCTTACTTACAAATATGAACGGAAGCTAAAATTTTTAGAACGATTCTTTTTAGATTTCTTACTAATAAATATTCAGTTATTGTATAGAAATGCTTCTATTCAAGTATGCTAAATATATGC